GCTCTGAAGGGCACCCTGATGCGACGAGTATCCTAAGGCCAGCTAACTCACCCTTCATCCCCTCCAGGAGCCCCAGGATTTTTGAAAGGGGAGAAGCTGGCAGGGCACAAGCCGTGGGTGGGGAGGGGAAAAACTGCCCGCTGGGCCCAGCTGGCGGTTCAACCACTCTCTGGACACCAATCCGAGCGCACTCAGACCCTGGGCCACCACATGAAAAAAATTTTCCATACCCCTCCTGGTACTGGAAACAACAACAACAAAAAAACTCACCTCAGTCTGCTGGGGTTCAGGTGCCGTCAGATCCTTCTGATACGAATTGGCTTGGTTGATTTGAACCCCAAGATGCAGGACTGAGTGAGGGTGGCAAAAAAGGTTTATTAAAGCAAAAACAAAGGTGCTGACSTGACAGCAAACAAAGACAAGAGGTATTGGCAGGAACAAGAACATGAGCAGAGTACAAGGAACAAGAAATAGCTAACAAGGATCTGACACCAGACTGAGACAAGATAGGACTTAAATACACTGACAACTAATGGATAAACTGAGAACACCTGGTGAGAAACACAAGGGTGACTAATCAGACAAATAAGGGGCAGCTGGGCTGAGACACACTGGGGAACATAGAAACACTAGGAAAACCAAGGTAAAAACTGACAAATCATGACAGCCTCCAAATCTTATTTTTCAGTGAGATCCTCGGTCGTCAGGAGCTATGGGATGTTGTCCTCTGTGTTCCTGCATGTTTCTCTGTGATTCTGGTTCTGACGCTCCCTTTTCTTCCTGAGGCTCCAAGATATTTATTCATAGACAAAGGAGACGATAAGGCATGCAAAAGTGGTCAGTATCCACCCCAATCATAGAAGCAACTGCAAATCTTTGTTTTGTTTCTATGTATTTATTTATTTTTTTTTTGTTGTTGTTCTTTCTCTCCAGCTCTCCAGAGTCTGTGGGGCAAAGGTGAGTACAAACAGGAAATGGACGAGATGTTGATCGAGCAGACGGCTCTTCAAGCAGTTCCACCAAAGACCGCCCTGCAGCTGCTGAGGGACAGGACCCTCCGATGGCAGCTCATCACCATGGCCACCATCTACAGCTGCAGCGAACTGTCAGGCATATCCGCGGTGAGCTCGGACCTAAACTCAGACATTTGTATGACACAGAAAGCTTTCTGCATTTAGGTCCTGTCATGTACTGTAGCCCATTGGTTTGTTGGGTCACACCGTATTGTGTTGTAATGTGTTTGCCTGTTCCTTCTCACAGTCTCACAACACTTGCAGGAAGTTTTTAGTTTTTCAGAACCATGAAACCTTTAAAAATGTATGATTTGTCTATTTAGTTGGGGACAGTGCAATTTAATAAAACAAGGCAATTCATGGGTTAAAAAAGAAAGCCAGAGTTAGCCAAAAGGCTATTTTTCATCTGTACCTTRGTCATGATGTTTAAAAAGTAATAAAATACAATGTAAATACAGCAATAACACATAATTAATGAGAATGAATTGTACCGAATGATTTCTGTATTGAGTTTAGTGATGGAAAAAATGGGCTCTTTGATGGGATCCGGATCTTGGGGAGCCATTTGTTTCATAGAGCCATTCAAAAGAGCCGTTCGATTTTGAACGAGTTACGTCATCACGTAGGGAAATACGTCATCACGTCATCACGTTATGTGGGTGGAACCATGTGTTTTGTCAAGCAGAAATCCCTCTCCCCCTTTCCCCTGAGCTTCTGTACTCCACTGCTCTGCCTGTTGTCCGTGAAAAAGCAAAGCGGGGGCAATTTAAGGATGAAAAAATAAAGATTATATGAGGAATAAAATAAATAAAACTACAAATGGCTCGTTACTGCCCACCACTCGGCTCCTATCGTTCGTTGTAAAGAGCCTTTCAAAAGATTTGGATCGTTGGTGAACGTCATATCACTAATTGAGTTCTTTCCTAAGATCCAGAAATACTGCTCTCACAACACCACCCAACTCTAAACATGCTCATATTTTCTCTACAATCATGGTTTTGGCCTAAAAGCTAAACTGAGCTTTTGTTTAGATTATGACCACTTTGTTAAGCGACACAGTTTTCTGCAGTTTTGAAATGGAAGAATTGGTCAAGAAATGTTGAATCACCCAATTTGAATACTGGAGTAACTATAGACCTAGCAGATGTCCAAGCATGTGGGAAGCGCCTGGTTGAGACAGAAGGAGCTAGCATACTCATGTCTATTCCAAAGACATCTTTAGCCGTTGAGAGTTTAAGTGAGTTTATAAAAATGTAATCTTTCTGCATGATTTGTCTTCCAAACTAGCAACATCAAAGTTGTAGTGTCATCAGGGTAACAAACCTGTTGAGTTTGGGCGTTTCCACATGAAGAGTTTCCCACATTTYCGGCTATTTTCCTAACTTTCTGTTCAACGTGTTACAATGTAGTTCAGTTATAGAGCAAAAACAAGTGAAAAACAAAAAAGCCAAAATGAGCAAAAACATAAAAGGGACAGTATGCTTCTGTTCAGGTGTATATACCAACCCTCTCGTTAMCACTTTATAATAACTACACCTAATTAATCATTAATAAAGGGTTACTTAACCTTAAAACATAATTAATTAAGGATTATTCAGACTTAATAAGCTATAAATAAACACGTTTATTAATGTTTTACTCATAAAGACTAATTACTTCTAAAATCAACCCACTCATTGTTTACTAATGCTTAACATATCAAGAATTAAGTATTCTATATGCTGTGTATATGTGTGTAAATACTCATATAAATGTATTTTCTCACCATGTGTTAGACATGTATTAATGGTTAGAGAATRATTGAATTGACTAGCTACTATCCCTGCAGTGCATCAGGTGTTGCCTGTGAGCCTTTGCTACCTGAGCACAAGTCAAATATCCTCAAAGTGCACAGGTTTAAAAAAAAAGAAGAACGCTGGTGTCACAAACAATAAAATAAAGGGTCTTCATCTTAAAAAAGTTTATATTTATGAAATATATATTTTTTATTTGGCCCACAGCCTTCAGATAGGTTTTCATTTTTATTCCTCTCAGGGTAAGTTTTAGCCACCTTGCTCTAAACAGGAAGTTAAACGTATGCTCAGGCAGCAAAGCCTCGTGGGAAATTTCATAAAATGATAAAATAAGAGTATTTTGGGTCTTATAAAGTTTGCAAATCTACATACAGTATGTGCTTAAATTTATTCTAAACATATCTTGTAGTTACTTGTATTATCACGATTAATCTTAATATAATTTAAAGATAAAGTCAGAACCACAAGTGAAAACTATCTGCACTACAGCCCCTAACTGGATGAATAGATGTAATGATTGTAAGTGGAAATGCAGTCTTTCTACATCAAAGGACAGAAAAGTACAAGCTGTTAACTGGTGACTCTGATTTACAAATACTTAAACATAAATAGTCTTCACTTTAGAAGAGTTCACAAAAAGATTTAACTAACAAATAACACCTGCTACTGATGCAAAGCAGGGTTAATAGATAGTCAGTTCAAACCTTCTCTAACCAATAATACATGTCTAACACATGGTGTGAAAGTATATACATACATACATATATATATATATATAGTAAATAGAATAGTTAACTCATGAGTTATTAAGCATGAGTAAAAGATGAGTATGTGGGTTTTAGACATAGTTAGCCTTTATGGGTAAAACATTAATAAATGTGGTAATTCACAGCTTATTAAGTCTGAATCATCCTTAATTAATGATGTTTTCAAGGTCAAGTAACCCTTTATTAATGATTGAGGCTAAATAAGGCGTAGTTATTATAAAGTGTTACCCAACTCTCCTTTAAGCTTCATACATGATAGATTTACTTGTTCATTAATGAGAATTGTTSATTTCAGAGGTTATAATTGGTGCAGTTAACTCACCAGTTCAAAAAGTGCCAGCATTTTTTCTTAAAAAACTTAAAAAGTTTCACATTTACATTAGAGCACAGTAAACATCAGCTGGATAAACTGGTGTAAAAAAAGGATGTAACTGTAATCTTAAAATGATCTTTTCCTTCTTCACAGATCGGCACCTTCTCGTTCGACATCTTCCTGAGGGCGGGCATWCCAAAAAACAAGATCCGCTACATCTCTCTCGGTCTTGGAGTGTCTGAAATCATCACCTCCCTCTTCTGTGTGAGCAAACCCYGCAGGCTGCACCTTGATGGCATATCTTTCACTTACATTCTCATGTATGGAGTTCCATTTGTGCAAAAAATATCAGCACTTTGCATGTGTTTGACCAGAGGCTCTTCAGAGATGGATCAATACGTGCTTACAAAAAGAAAGCTACTTAGGGYGGTGGATTCTATAATGACAGCTTCRTTTAATGGTTTTACCTTATACTGGTAATCATTTTTTTGTTGAATTTGCATTTCTTTTCTTTTCGTTCCTTTCTGTTAGGGTCTTCTTATTGAGCACACGGGGAGGAGGCCGCTATTCTGGGGAGGTTATGGTGYCATGGCTGCGTCCTGGGTGTTGGTCACCATCACGCTTAACCTGAAGGTAAACAAGATATTTAAMAAAGAAATGTAAAAAGATGCAGAAAAATCGACACAGAAAGAGCTTTGTTGTTACRTTTCATGGAGGTGTTTGCAGTGTTTAAAGGACAGCAGCTCCTCAGGTCGCAGATGTTTAAAGACTTGTTAAAAAAGTTATTTCAAAATGCGCTGTTGCCATAAGAMTCAGAATTATCTTATTTTTGGGCTCAAATAGTACAAATWGTTTAKTTTAAATACTTMATACRTSCTAATCAAGTCATCAGAATAACAAACAATAATCTGTAGAGCTAACTTTAACTATAATCCATCATGCAGGGTTTAGGCTCCTGGGTTTCATATGTTACTACTATTCTGATCATCCTCTTCATCATCTTTTTCCGTGGAGGACCTGGTATGTAAATTCACAGGGATTATGATGCAGTTAAATTATTAGACAAAAAGATAAACGTCAAGCTCGCTCTTCGTTTTTCTTTCAGGAGCAGTCACAGCCACTCTCAACAGTGAGCTCTTCATCCAGTCCGACCGGCTGGCAGCTTTCGTCGTCATGGGGCTGCAGCGCTGGTTCTTGTTCGCAGTGCTGGGACTAATCTTTCCCTTCCTCATTGTGCGTAAAATCAGTAAATAAGAGACTAACAAAAAGAGTGTCAGCATGGATCAAACTTTATACGTTTCTAATCTGATTTCTTCTCCCAGAATGCTCTGGATTCTTACTGCTTCCTGCTGTTCAGCTGTGTGTGTGCGCTGGGCAGCCTTTATACCTTCTTCATTCTGCCTGAAACTAAAGGCAAGACCCTGCTGGAGATCTCTGAGGAGTTTAAAACCATCACCGTC